ATAATGTATATAATTTTTCACTTCCCTGACTCTGCTCAAGGCCTTTCGGACACCTTCCCCCTTCCCTCATGGTCCTTCTAAGCCCAAGTCTTCTCTGTACAAACCCCAGATGAGTTCTATTCATGCAGGATGCTTGGCCTTATTGCAATACCATATTACTGTTGGAAATCTGGCCTCGCCATTTCAGCCAGTGTCCGGCTTTGTTTACCTTTGGCAGTACTCAAGAGCCCACTGAGGCTGATAGCTCAGGCTTCAGGCTCACTCAGGCTGTCTACGTGTCTGTACTGGGTAATCCAGATTCTCATTATTCTTTTTAAGTACTTTATTTTTTATTCATTTGTGTGTGTGTGTGTGTGTGTGTGTGTGTGTGTGTGCGTGTACTTGTGTAAGAATATGTCACATATTTATAGATGCCCATGGAGGCTAGAAGAGGGTGTTGGAGCTCCTGGATCTGGAGTTACAGGAGGTTGTGAGCCACTAGATGCTGTTGCTAGGAACTGAACTCAGGTCCTCTAGAAGAGCAGCAAGGTCTCCTAACCACTGAACTACCTCTCCAGCCACAGAGTCTCATTCTTCTTGACTCTCATATCCTAAACCTTAAACTCGCTGTGTCTCATATCTTTCTTTGTCTATAAGAATGTTTCTGCTCAGACCTCCTGCTTCAGTCTCTGGGACCTATAGGGTCCAGGATAACCTCTAAGAATCTCTGTCCCTGTCCCAAAGCCACCACCCCACTGTCATGTGCTACAGTGAAGGCTGACCATGTCCTTAACCAATTGACCAGGTATGCCTACAGAATAGACAGCATGATACAAACACCATCAACACCATCCAAGAGACTAAAAATATAGCTCCCTTACAGATAGATCCATAGTCAGTTTCTAATGCAGAACACTACATATAAGCTTTGTAAACAGCTGTGATCAGTACCAGGTAAAAGATAGCAGTGGAGTCCAATTTTAACAACATGCTGGGTTACTAAGTTTCATGGGTACATCTTTATGGTCTATCCCCATTTCTTCCTCTCTTACAAATGGGAGCCAGGGCCTCTCACCACACACTTTACTCTGCCTCCCTCAGAAAACTGCCTTGAGTGATCTGGCTGGGGACTCCGTCTTTTATTCTAAGCAAACCAGACAACAAACATCTAGGTAGTTAGAGAAAGGAACAGTTCCTATCTCTCTGCTGTCCTGGTTTGAGACTTCCTTCCTCCTGAGAGTCTGCAAAAATCTCCCTTCTGAGATGAAAAACCTACTTCAGACCTGAGCTGTGCCATTCCTCCCTCCATTCCATGAATATCCCACTGGCTGGGTGGGGCTCTGCCCAGGGCTGAATCAAAGAGTAGGCAGGAGCCCACATGGGAGACTTCTCTCTTCTTAAGAATGGAGGACTAGTGATTGCTCCCTCCTTTTTCTTTTGTAGGCCAGTTTGAATTGTATTAATACAAATGATAAGGCAATCAAACCTTGCTAAACATTTACCCCTCCCCCACAAATACTGTGGTAGAATATTCTGGAAAAAAGAAACTCAACCAGTCAGTGAAAAAAGAAAGTAAATTGCTGGGCATGGTGTGCACACCTTTAAGCCCAGCACTCTGGAAGCAGAGGCTGGTGGATGTCTATGAGTTCAAGGCCAGCCTGTTCTATAAAGTGAGTTCCAGGCCAGCTGGGGCTACAGGGAGACCATGACTCAAAAAAAAAAAAAAGTAAATTACATTTCTCAAACATGATTTTAGGTGCCAACAGGTGGTTCTGGAGATCTGGTGAAAGTAGTTATCCAACCTTTTTCTTTGTTTTCCAGGGAAAGCCATTTGTGGGCCCCAGCTCTGTACCAGCTAGAAGTGGGCCTCACACTTCCCCGCATGTTTTTGAGATATCTGGGCTAGACTGAGGACCTCTGATCTGGGGAGCCTGGGGAACTTACCCTTTGCTCCTGTGTGGCCACGAAGGTCTGGAACCCTGGAGCCACCCCAAAGCCCAGCTCTTGGATGAAAGGCGGTTCAGACTGACTGTGGATCTGAACCTTCACTCCCGCTTCAAACGTTGTTTCCTCTGAAAGAACAAATGTGGACAGAGCCGTGGGTCAGAGACAGCAGATGTGCATGGGTCCTGGGGCTGGAAAGCTCTAGGGAACACTAAAAGGATCATGTAGTAGGCAGAGCAACAGCTCCACATGCACATCACTGGAAACTGAGTAGGTGACCTTCCATGGAGACCTGAAGTGAGGGAGCTCCAGACGGAGAGTAGCCTGTATTGTGCAAGTGGGCTCACTCAGTACAGTCACAGATGAGAGAAAGCAGAGGGGCCATACTGCTGGCTTTGAAGAGGGAGAAAGAGCCACCAACTATTGGATGGAAGAAGCTTCTAGAAGCTGGAAAGATCAGGAACATGTATTTGTCCCTAGAACTTCCAAAAGCAACAGAGTTTTGCTGACAGCTTTGGTTTTATATGCCTAAAAAAAAAAAAAAATCCATTTCAGACCTCTGACTTTAAATTTGTGTGTGTGTGTGTGTGTGTATGTGTGTGTGTGTGTGTGTGTGTGTGTGTGATATGTGTATGTACAGATATGCTTCTGTGTTGGGGGCTGTGGAGGCCAGAGACTGAAGTCAAGATGTCATCTTCAATTGTTCTCCATTAAAAAATTATTTATTATTTTTACAGTGTGTGTATGAGTATATTGCCTGCATGTGTCTAAGTGCACCTGTGTTGTGCAATGTCCATGGAGGCCAGAAGAGGGCATTGGATTCCCCTGGAACTGGAGTTACAGGCAGTTGTTAGCTGCCACGTGGGTGCTAGGAATCAAACCTGGGTCCTCTATAAGAGCAGCCAGTGCTCTTAATCACTGAGCCATCTCTCCAGCCCCTCCATGTTTTTTTTTCAGACAGGATCTGTCACTGAACCTGAAACTCACTTTTCCAGATAGACTACTGAGCCCCCAGCATCCACTTGTCTCCCCTCCTTCCCTAGGGCTGAGGTTATAGATATATACCACCATAGCCAGTTTTTTTCACATGGGTGGTAGGGATCAAACTCAGGTCTTCATGCTTGTACAGCAAATACTACCCACTGAGCCATTTCCCCAGCTCCTAACCTTAGAATTTTTTTTTTTTTTTTTTTGTGGGTGTGTGGGTTTTTTTGAAGCAGGGTCTCCCTGTAGCCCCAGCTGCCCTGGAACTCACTATGTAGACCAGGCTGGACTTGAACTCACAGAGATCTGCCTGCCTCTGCCTCCCAAGTGCTGGGACTACAGGTGTGCGCCACCATGCCCGGCCTGACCTTAGAATTTTAAGAAATAAATTTGTGATGCTTTCTGTTACAGCAAAAATGAGAATCTAATTTAAACCAATTAGGCCAATTCCTTGTCCCTGTCACCATTATCTGTAGAATGGGATTATGAAATGAGTAAAGTCCCTTACCAAGCTCCCATCTAGCGTCCTGGGTAGATTCTTTGAAACTCTTAAATTTTATTTACTAAATTCTTTCCTGGGCCACTGAGCTGAAGATGAGGCTAAGAGGAGGAAGAAAACACCCTGGTGTAGCAGCAGAAATGGAAATACAGGGCTGGTTTGAATGTCTTACCCCTCAGCGCTTCAGGAGACGGGTGACCAGACTATAAACTGCTCCAGTGTTTATCCTGGGGTGAGAGAAATGGCTCTTGGCAGTGAGAGGTGGCAGGGTAGCAGAGACTGGTTTGCTCTGTAAGTTTCGTTCACAACTGGAGTGGAGCATGCACTTAGGTGATTGTATCAACTCAGAGATGAGGTTCCAAAATACAAATCCATGTAGCTCTCTCCCTTGCTCATAAGGCTTCTCAGCCTGCCCCTGTTCCAGCCTTGCCTGGCTCTAGCATATGTGGTCACGCTCTCCAGAGCCACCCGGATTGGTTGTTGCTGGTTCCCGTTGTGCACAGATGTGCACATCTGCTTCTGTCTCAAAATTGTTTACCTGGCCATTACTGCACACGTCACTAAAGACTCAATCCCTCAGCCCTACCCAGAGTAACTCCTTCTCTTGCTTGGTTGTAACATCCATATCCACTTGCTAGAGCTTCTGCCATACTCTGTGACTGCCCTTCATCCAACCGTCTCTCTCTTCAGACCACAGCACCTTCAGGGCCGAGTGGGACTTTGTCTGTGAGTCTCTTAGACGTCTTGCCCAGGGTGGCACGGTACTCAGGGACACCTACTGAATGAATGAGTGGAGTTTTGGAGTTACAGTTCATTCACTTATTAATGGGCAGGGCCTGTCTGAAGTTCAAATCAAGAAATGTTCTAAAAGAAAACAATGAGGAGAGGATGGGTCCATGGAAGAATGAGAGAAGATAGAGGTGGGGAGTTACCAGGGGAGGGGGGATGTAGAAGTACTGGGACCACCGCTCAGGGACTGTCTGGGGACACACCAAAGCTGGATTAAAAGCGAAAAGCTGGGGCCAGTCATAGGAGTGGCAAGACCATAGAAAACATGGTAGCTACTGACTGAAGTTGGCTTGGGCAGATGTGTGGTTTGGCATGGGATGAGATTCCAAGGTCAAGGGTGCATGGTCAGTATGGTCCAGCAAGCAGAGAAGGGTGGAGAAAATATAGGCACCTATATAAAAGCTGGGTGTGATGGCATACATTTAGACAAGGAATTCAGGAATCCTGTGGCTGACATGGGGTTTCATGAAGAGGCTCTCAGGAGAATACAACCTCAGATAAGTTTTCATAAAGTGGGAGAGAATTGCAGGCAAACCATGGAAACATCCCTCCTTCTTTTTGTGGGATCAACTGCTCTGTGGCTTCTTCACCCACAACCCATCCAAACACCTATCCACAGGTCCACATTATGTCACTGTCATGCACTCAGGTGGCATATTCCTCCAGAGCAGACATAATGTCTTATTTATCCCCACTCTAGCTGGCCCACAGGCAGATGATCAGTGAAGATGCTTAGGTTGGAGAGGAGAGTGTCTGGATAAGGAGCACTGGATAGGATTAAGATGCCCAGTAGCCCACTTCCAGCAGACATGTATTCTAAAGTCTGCCCAAGAGGGGATAAGGAGTTCAAGACCAGGTTGGAGTTGAGAAAATAGTAAGTGTGGAGGGATGTTGAGGTTATGAGGATGTTCATGCTGCAAAGAAATGAGAGTATTCAGTGAGTCCTGGGAAGGAACTGGCGAGCTGCCCAAGCTCATTTTCCAGAGCTAGTTGAAGCAGCATGCCTGCTCTACAACTGGGCTTGGGAAACCTTCTAGCCAGTAAGAGAAGCTCAAAGCAGGGCTTGTGGCTTACAGGAAGAAATGAGAAATGGAGCTTTTCTGTTGGAAACTCCATGAGTAATGGTGAAAACAATCAGCCAAGGGGAGCCTGTATCATTGAGAACTACTGGAGGCTAATCAGACTGGGTTAGGCATTTAAGAAGCCCTGGTTTATCCTAGAAGCAACAGTAGCTGCAACAGAGAATAAAACCCTAAAGCAACCTCATTTGTTTACGTTAGTAGAAATTAGATGACAGAATAAGGTTTCCAACAGTAGCTGCAACAGAGAATAAAACCCTAAAGCAACCTCATTTGTTTATGTTAGTAGAAATTAGATGACAGAATAAGGTTTCTGCTCTCTCTCTCTCTCTCTCTCTCTCTCTCTCTCTCTCTCTCTCTCTTGTGTGTGTGTGCCCTGTATGTACATGGTTGCATGGATATGTGCACATGTGTGTGCAGGTGCACAGACACATGGGTGCTTACACATGGGGGCAACTGGATGTCTTCCTGAACTGCTCTCTAACTTATTTTTAAGGCTTTATTTAATTTTTAATTATGTGTGTGTGTGTGTGTGTGTGTGCGTGTGTGCGTGCAGGTGCACATGAGTGCAGGTGTCCACTAGAGGCACTGAATTCCTCCTAGAGCTGGTTGTGAGCCACCTGATGTGGATGCTGAGAACCCAACTTGGGGCTTTATTTATTTATTTATTTATGGTCTTTTTGAGACAGGGTCTCTCAGCAGCCCCAGCTGGCCTGGAACTTGCTACATTATGTAGATCAGGTTGGTCTTGAACTCGGAGATCCATCTGCTTCTGCTTCCCTAGTGCTGGGATTAAAGCTGTGCACCACCATGCCTGGGTATTCAACTTATTTTTTAATTTTTAAAATTTAAAAAAATTTTATGTGCATGCATGTATTGCCTGCATGTAGGTCAGTGCACCCATGTCATGCAATGCCCATGGAGGTCAGAAGAGGCTGTCGGATCCCCTGGGACTGGAGTTACGGACAGTTGTTAGCTGCAATGTGTGTGGGTGCTGGGATTCGAACCCGGGTCTTCTGCAAGAACAACCAGTGCTCTTAACCACTGAGCCATCTCTCCAGCTCCTTAACTTATTTTTTAAGTCAGAATCTCTCACTGAACTTGGAGCTCATCGACCTAGCAAAGCTGGTTGGCCAATGAGCTCTAGGGAGCCACTTCTCTCTGTTTTGACAGCTCTGGGGTTACAGATGTACACCACCACACCCAGCTTTTATGTGGGCGCTGTGGATCTGAAATCAGAGTCTCATGGTTGCACCAAAGGCACATTACTAACTGAGTCATCTCCCCAACTCCCAGTTTCTGCTCTGTTTGCAGAGAAGGAGATGCTCTGTAACCTATGTTGCCCAGTATGGCAGCCACAGGCTACAATGTATGGTTGGAATGATCAAGGAACTGGACTTTTCATTTTAACTAAGGGAAACAGATTGACAGAGTCACACGTGGCCAGTGGCACCCTTTCTGGACAGCACAGTCGTGGACCATCCAGCCATGAGCCTTCTAGGGGCATCAGGAGTGACAAGGACCCCATCACCTTGCCTTCCCAAACAGGTGCCCCTGCCTGTTCCTTGTCTAGGAGCTGTGGGGACTGGGTGGGGTTCTGGGCAGCAGTTGCAGGTGTCTTCATGGTCAGACCAGGCTACGGTCCCAGGTCACTCAGCTCTGCTTTCCCCGAGGTCCCTATTCCCAAGTCTCTAGATAATTTTGCATTGATGCTTTGCTAAAGCTGCCCTGACTTCTCTCTGTGGATTGTTCTCTGGGTTGCTTGCAAATGGTAGCC